CACAATCGAGAGAGAGAGAGAGAGAGAGAGAGAGAGAGAGAGAGAGAGATCCGGAAAATATCAAAAGAGATGACACAACTTAAAAGGGTTGACAGACAAGAAGTAAGCCAGACTGCCTTTAAGCCGAATTTTTTAAATGTTGGAAAACAGAAGTACAGCGGAGCCCACATTATAAAAAACTGATGAACCATACGATTTTTTGATGCTCTGGCTTTTATCCAAATCTCTCTTTATAATTCCTCTTGATACAGATGAGCCAAGATATTGCTTTAACTCTTTCACCGATTAGTCGTAAATACTTATTAGCTAAAGCTGCTAGACGCTCCCATTAGAAAGAGCGAACTAAATTAAATAATGCAACAGTCTTCTCCTCTTTATAAACTGAGAACTGCATGCGCCAGGTACAACTTATTCCCTCCCTCCTCCTCAACCCCTTTCATGGGGCGTCAAAATGATTTCTTTGTTTTGATAGCAATTACTAAACAGTAGTGAAGAGGTTAAACCTAAATCTTCAGAAGCTAATCATAGGAGACTCCGCGGTTGGTGAAAAAAGTGGGTAGGGTCATCAGTAATTCACCAAAAGATCACAACGAAACTTTAGGTTTCTGTAAGAATTTCTGAAGCGAGGAGAGGATGTGGGTGCCCATTGCGGATGGGATCGGGTCGGGTCGGTCGTCAGGCGATGGGTTTCGGCCACAACAGCCGCTTTGTGACCCCAATCTGGCTAGCAAATCGACCCAACCCGACCCGATCGTGCCAATGGGCACCCGACAGTTCTTAGAAGAGGTTCGAGGAATGTTGGGTTACTGAGTACCCAGAACGTCTACAACTTCATGGTCACGACTTACCGCTATTTCTGTGGGAGCTCCGCAAACCTTGGGGTTGTCCTTGCGATATTCAGGCTGTTCCGTAGTGCCGTGGAGAACCAGCTCAGCGCTGTTCAGCTTGCCTTTGGAGCTTTCGTTTGACTGATGAACACACAAAAACAGGTTTCTAGAATTAATATATAATTTAATATGACAATGACAATCTTTATACGACACAATGGAGACACTTTCGGAGGCAGGTTTCCCACCCTGCCCTTCACGGCCAACTTGGGTTGAAATGGGTACAACATCCCAGTAGAAAGACCAAGATACTTAAAACATTTGTTTTCTCCACTCGGGAATGGGACCCGGGTCTGGTGGGTGTGACAGCGAAGCGCCTTACGGCTACGCTACAGGCTTCGATGATTTTAGAGTTATTAACACCGCTTATACTATAGTATGAGTTCAAATAAAAACTATGTTGAATTAAACACACATTTGAGTTTGTGTTCGTGCAATGCGATTCAGAAGATGAGGTTAATTCCTAAAGGGAACAAAAAGTTCAAAAATTGAGAGAGAGAGAGAGAGAGAGAGAGAGAGAGAGAGAGAGAGAGAGAGAGAGAGAGAGAGAGAGACTAACAGACAGACAGACAAAGAGACAGACTGACAGACAGAGCATGCCATAATATTATAATATTTCACTGAGGTCCAGCCCAGCGCAGTGCTCACCCTGTCGGCGACCCGGAACTTCCAGGTACCCTCTGGGTTCTCCCCCCAAGTGTGCACGCTCATCAGCGACCACTGCTTGAAGCCCTTTGATGAGCTGTCGTACTTCCGCTCCAGCATCACAGGCGTCACAGTGCCTGGGGAGAAGAGAACAAGGTGAGCTGAGGTTGTTGGTTTAAAAAAAAAAAAACCCAACCCCAAAACAACATGTTTTATGTAATTTCATGTTCAAGTAGAGCACAGAAGGCAATCTATTTTGTTCCTGGGTTGTTTGTTTGTTTGTTTGAGTAAAGAGAAGCACGGCGACATAATAATAGTCATTAAGTGTTGGGAAAGGGTAAGACAGACAAACAGAAACAATAGAGGGAAAATAAAGAAGTAGAACCTTCCAGTGATGCCCTCCAACCATCCACAGGTCCTGGGTTAATTAAAAACTCGGCATATAAGACAGCTGAACAGGCGATATGCGTACTAGTACTAATTCAGATCAGTTAGGCCTAACTGCTAAAATAAATCCGCAGAACTTAAGAAGGGGGTCATCGAGTTAATTCAGAGGCTTAGTCAGTAAGTGGAACTCATTTACCCTGAGACAAGTACCGACATTCGTTTCTCTAAAAAGAAGACGATGAAGGTAACGTAACCGATGGCTAATGAAGGCTACAGTTAGATCTATCGGTCAACCATTGGACGACTAAGGTATGTATACTAGACAGTAGACTCTATGTAAGTCCTACTAATAGTAAATAGGGAGACTAGATGCTATCCAAAAGCCAGAGACGAAGAGGTAAACATGTAATCTAACAGGGAAAGGGGGGGGGGGGTATTTTTTAACAGACAGTGGTGTCTGTTCATATCCCTTGACCTCATTGAGATCCATCTCGAATTTACTATGTAAATAAACTTCAAATACGAACAAGCTTTCTAGGGGTTCATTTGTTCTCCATAAATTCCAGAATTCAGCATGCATCTAATTTTTGTGTTAAGGTCTCACTCGTAGGAAATTCCAGCTCAGAGTAAATGTCTATATTCCTCGACCTATCTGAGGCCAATCCTGATTCTATTTTCAAGGCCGACATAAAGCTTCAAATGCAACCCCTCCCAACCCCCCCATCCCACAAAAATACCCAACAACAACCCAACAACAACAACAACAACAACAAACAACAAACAACAACCGCTTTACAGGGGCGCAATTATTCCTTTAAAAAACCCGTAACCGTAGCTCAGCGAAAATGTTCGTATCTCTTCACCCGTCTCAGGTCTACTTTGATTTTTTTCACTCGTATTAAAAGCTTTTCTGAGTCCACAGTAATTCTCTCTAAATTCCTTAATCTGGAATGCCTCTAATTTTATGTCCATATCTCACCCATAGGAGATTCCAGCTCAGCGTAAATGTTTCCTCTCCGTGAATAGTCAAGATCAATGACAACCTGCACGTGCTCCAAGAAGTTGATCTCGTTCTCTTGACCCTCACAGCCGTCAGTCGTAAACTCAATCTCAACTTGGTGTCTGGCATTCAGCGTTCTAAGTTGCAGGAAGAAGCAAATTTATATTTTAGAAAAGACCCCCGCTGAAACTGTCAAAATAAAACGATTACTTAAGTTATAAAAAAAACTTCCAGATAATCAGGAATGCGCATCTCTTTACTAAGCATCATTATACAATAAGGCTGATATTGAATTCCATATTATAAATGGATAGTCAGATCTGAAATTCTTTTTTAATGGTTTGGTGATAAAACGAAATCTTCAAGTTTTAAAATTCTATTTGTTCGTAGGGATCGAAGTTTTATAGTATAGAAGATAGTAACCTCATAAAAAATCACGAGTATTCCAGAACTAACATGCCTATTAATTAGTTATCTACTGCCTCTCAGAAAAAAATTCGAAATTGATGCATGAACACGACGACTAAATCGACCATATGGCTACAGAAAAGACAACCCTGGCTTTTGCAGAATAAATGAAAGAGACAGAAAGCGGTGCAGGCGATGAACAAGAAAAAGGAAAGCGATATGTTTTACAGAAAAGCCCAAAGAAGAATTAATATTTGTGTACACGTATGTGATTGTTATAAGTTGAACGTATAAATAGAAGTGATCATGAGGAGAGAGAGAGAGAGGGACCAGCTATGGACAAATTGGATCGTGTGCAAAAGATCCAAAACTTGTAGAAATATAGACAAATAGACTAGTAGAAATGATTATCTTCTGTCCAGAGGAGAAGGGGCAGCAACTAAACTAATTACCGTCGGCAAAGATTCCCAACTTTGTAAACAAATAAATAAGTAAACGAGTAGTATAGTAAGTTGGTGACCACGCCCATCATAATTCATACGTACTGTGGGAACTGGGTGCTCTTGACCGCGCTGACCTTGCACGTTTTCTGCTCACCCACATGCTGCCAGGTGTCCGGGTCGGCCAACTCCACCATCGCCAGAACGTCCATCAGGCCGAAGCCAAACGCCAGGTTGACGCAGTAGCCGGCGCCGTTTTTGTACCTGTCGGAACGTTGGATGGTACGCTTTGCATGTCGTGTTCTCGGCAAAAACTGACATATTGATGACCCCATTCATTAAATAGATAATTGTGATTCTTGATTTCC